CTAAGTGAAATAAGTCAGACGGAGAAAGACAAATACCATATGATCTCACTTATATATGGAATCTAAACAACAGAATAAATGAGCAAAGTTAACAGAAATAGACTCAGAGATATAGAGAAAAAACAGGGTTGCTAGATGGGAGGGGGTGGGGATGGGGAGAAGGTAAAGGGATTAGACCACATAAATTAGTACCCACAATATTGCCACAGGGATATGAAAGACATTTTGGGGAATATAATCAATAATATTATAAAGATGTTATAGGGTGTCCGATGGGCACTTGTCTTATTAGGGAGACCACTTCATGGACTGTGTAGATGCCTGACCACTGCACTGTACACCTGAAGCTGAAGCTGAATAATATTGAATGTCAACCATATATATATATATATATATGTGTGTGTGTGTGTTTATATATACACACAGTATATATATTTATGTATATATATATTTATGTATATATATATATATGTATACACATGCACAGGATGTGGAGTACAGCATAGGGAATAGAACCAATGGAATTGTAACAGCTATACACAATGTCAGAGGGGTCGTAGATTGGGGGAGTGGGGTTATCACTTACTACTTTGTGAGGGATGTAAATGTCTATTACATTGTTTTGTACACCTGAAAGTAATTTTAAAAAAAGAGCTTAAGAAATAAATCCATGATTTGCAGTATTTGCCAATTTTCATCATGTTAACCATACTCCCACCATGACCAATTTCAAGCTACCAAAGATTTAAAACTGGCTCACAAAAATTCCTGAATATTTAACAATTGGCTCTACACCTAGCATGTAGGACTCCATCCTGTTCAAGTACACCACTGACACACCAAATATTTCAATCAGATAAATTTATTGTAGCTCTAGTAATATGCCTTTTCATTCTCTATAAATAATTGTGCCTCAGTATCTAATAGAGTCAACCCCATATCTTTTCAAGTCAAATTCCTAGCCACTCTTAATTTTCAACCTAAATGCCACTTCTTTCAAAATTCCCTCTCTTTTTTTGTGTTTACTTCTTGTTTAACTTAACACATTGACTTCAAAATTATTTGTGGTTTATATTATAATTCCCTAGTCAACATAGGACACATTTATTTCTTCTTTTTAATATCACTGGGGGTTAGTAAAGTGCTTTACACATAATGATAATTCTTAAATTCTTGGGTTGTGTTGGGGGATAACTGGGATGTGGTTTTTCAGTAACACATAAGGCAATGAATAAATATGTAGAATCCATAAAAATGTATTTGAGGCAGACAAAAGTAGAAAATATATGAATTAAAATTAGTTTAAATATGGATTCATTTGAAAACAATCCTCAGTCATACTCATGATATAAGATAATTTAGTAGTTAATACTATTATTTCTGTTGTAAGATTGCCTGGGTTCAAATACTGTCTCTCCCATTTACTAACTGGGTGATATTGGGCAAGTTACTTAACATCTCCAAGCTTCAGTTTCCTCATCTGTAAGTTGGTCATAATAATACCTATCTCATCAGGTTATTGTGAGGATTATACAGAATAACATATGTAAGGCACTTAAAACAGTACCTGACATATGCTAAGTATTCAACACACATTTGTTAGTTAGCAATAGTAATAATAGTAGTAGAAAGCAATGCCGATTACCAAAAATAAATCTCAAAAATTGTAAATAGAATGAAAGAATAAATTGATGTTAAAGGAAAAAGGACACAGGGGGGTTGGGAGGAATAGATGACTTTACAAACAGGATTTCATTGCAGCCTAGTCCTTAAACTGAGCCAAACACTAGCATCAAAATGTCCCCTGCTCTGTCCCAATTTTTTACTAATCAAATAAATCAACCATTCTCCTTATGTCCCTCCTCACAGCTCCCAGGTAGTGTCCCACTGTAGAATACCAAAGCCACAGTCATGTTTCCAGTGTTCACTTGTTAAAAAAAATTAAGATCAGCTTGTTGAAACCCCTTGTAAGCCTGCAGCATTCACTTCTCTATGACACAGATGGCCCCAGCTCACATTAGCCTCAGCAGATTCATTAAATGACCCCCTCAAGTACTAGACACATGAACCCTGAAGGACATGGAACTGCTGACATTTCTTTTTAGCATTTGACATTTTAAAAGGATTCTGGGTTATCCACTTATTCCACATAGGATAAGTATGCTGCCTCCATCCTAAATCCTAATGGGTGAAAGGAAATGAGTAAAAGAAAAACTTTCTGTCTATAACCAAGAAAGAAGAAGAAAATATTCAGGCTCTTTTATCTAAAGGAAATGTATCTGCCTTTTTGATTCACTTTGGAGATTTCTGAAAATACTAAAGGAAGAAAGTAACAACTAATTGTCGCTTAGCAGAAAGGTGAAAAGCACTAAAAAATTCTAGAGCATCTCTTTGTCAAAAAACTAATTTTCTGAGATGTTCTAAATTAAATTACAGTGGCCAGAGAATGAAAGAATTGTTAGCCTGTTATTGGCTGTGTGCCAGCTAACAAAAGACTGCTCATATTCTTTCTGTCTGTTGAAATTCATCTGAATTTCCAGGTAGCTATTTCTGTGATTATCCTAGCCAGGCACTATGGAACCCTAGGAGTGGAGCCTCTCTTCTTTTTTCCACATGGACCTTCCAGACTGCTGCCCACAGCCAATCCTCAGGAGTGGACATTTCTCTTTGCAATCTGCGCTGATCGCAGAGCTGGCCCAGCTTCACCTTCTCCCTCACTTTTGTCTATAGCTAATGTAAATGCTTTCCGATGGCCTACATCTCTCTTCTCCCCCCACCCCCCGACCACTTGATGTATAAAAATGCTTGCAGACTCCAAAACAATGGACATTTGTGTCTTTTTTACCTTGCCATACTGCTGGTGGTTCAGACTTTATGCCCCAAGAATGGTCTTCTTTTTGGCTAACATTTCTGGTTCAATAAAACCTTTCTTTAAAAAGACTTTCAGGGGCCGGTCGAGTGGTTCAGTTGGTTAAGAGTTAGCTTAAGAGCATGAGCGCTGAGCCACAGGGCTGCCAGTTCGATTCCCTCATGGGCCAGTGACGATGCACCCAAGCTGAGTTGCTGCTGATCTGCCAACAGATGGAGGGATGGCTCAGCTGGTGAGAGCACATGCTCCTAACAACAAGACTGCCTGTTCGATGGTGGGCTACACCCACCCGCAACTAACACTGAGCTCGGCATCTTGAGCTGAGCTGCCACCCGGATGGCTCAGTAGATAGAGCATGTGCTCTTAACAACAAGGCTGCTGATTTGACTCCTGCATGGGATGGTGGCTACGCCCACTCACAACTAAGATTGTAACACAGCACCTTGAGCTTAGAGGCCACGAACTGCCGAAGGGCAGCCAGATGGCGGCTGGCGCCCTCCACAACTAAGATTAAAGAACAACAACTTGGCTGGTCCTCCTCCCCAATTCCCCAACACTGTTCCCCTCCCCCAATTCCCCAATTAAAAATAAATAAAAATTAAAAATTAAAAAAAATTTTAAAGACTTTCAGCCATGGAAATTAACATTTTTGTTTAACAACAGGTATAGGAGAAATTAGGCATGTAGGAGAAATAATCCTGCTTGGGACCATCAGATGTTTCACATGAATAATTCCCCAAATGAGTATTTTTAATGCCCATCTCAGAATGGCATCTAATCTCTCACTAGAATACATAATCTTGACAAATAGAAAGTTTCTTGTATTGAAATCTCTTTCCCTAGAAGTATCAACCAACTTTTCAAAGGCATGGCCGCTGGTAGACAAGTTCAGACATGAATTCATAAGGCCCTGGGTACACGCATTGAACCTGAGCTTGCTCTTTGCTTATTGGATTTTTACCTCCCAGAGGAACCAACTGCTACATGGTTGACTCCTTCTCACTGTGCTCCTGTCCCCACCTTGAAGCCTCAGGAGCTATCTGATCTATTGATTACTGTCTTTTTAATATGTGGTTCCACATCTATTTTCAAAACAACATTGACAACATAATATTCAGTGGAGCTTAAATGTTATAGGTACTTGTTTCAGGGAAATAGATTAAGATTTGTTGGAATCTACTTTTCCTTAATTTATGAGAAGACTGTGGGTCCTCTGAAATACCCAGAAAATGGTCTCACAGCCCCCTTTGAACACCAAGCTCTCCAGCATTTCCAATGGTTGCCATGACCACAGGTGGAAAAATGTTAGAAAATCTTATATCACTCCAATGTTATAATTTCTAGCATATATACTCTTTCCCCATAGAGACATATCATCAGCATTTACGTGGTATACAAACACAGGACTGAAATGCCTATGTTAGTTTAAGAAAATAATTTGAAAAGTTAAACTGCTGTACATCAATGAGAATAAATTACAGTTCCCTACACAACATATGTGAATCTCAAAATTAAGTGAAAGAAGCCAGGTCCCAAGCAGTACATGTAGTGTGATTCCATTTACTTAAAGTTTAAATACAGGTAAAGCAAATAGATAGTGTTAGAAATCTGCATAGTGGTTACCCTTATAAAGGAGGAGATGAGTGAATTGAATGGGGAATGAAACGAGCTTCTGAGAAACTTGTTAAATTGCTTCTTAATTTGGGTTCTGACTACATGGGTTACACCTGGCGATAATTCATTGTGCTCTATGCTTATTTGTGTATGTTTCTACATGTATGTTACACTGCAATAAAAATTAACTGACATAGTGAAAGTAACAGAAGGAAAACTGAAAATTTTCACCAATGCTAAAAATAATTTGAATGCTATTATATCAAAAGTAATATGGTAATAAATCCTAGATAAAATAAAAAATGTTTAAAAGTTTAAATGGGAAGATATCACATAAAAAAGTAAGAAATTTAAGACAATAGGGAAAAGAGTGGGCAATAATAAAGTGAGGACCAACGTTTAGAAATACTATCTGTTTTATAATGCAGGAAAATAAATTTCACACGGAAATTTAGAAGGAAGAATGATTCCAAACCATACAGAATTTTATCACTTATCTAACCACTTCATTTTACAGATGAAGAAACTGGGGACAGAGACAAGGCACTTACTCAAGCTCACCCAGTTGCTCAGCAGCAATACGGAAACTATAACCCAAGCCTCCTCAGCCCTCCTCCTCCTTTATATTAATAGAAGATGAGAACAACAATTAGGCTCCATGTTGCAGTGTGACTTCAACAAAACAATAAATAGATCTGATAACATGGCACGTTAGGGCACAGGTGGATGGCTGCTGTGTGACTTTGCATTTTCCAGGGCTCCAGACTTTGGGCATGTTACAGTAGTGACTTCCCCAACATTGCAGTGAGTCATAAGAAGACTTGGGAAGTCAACTTCGTTTCCTGCTGAGACTTCAATGAAATAAACTGAATCAACTGAACAGGAATAGCAATTCTGAGCATTTGAAAAGACCATATCCTAAGGATGAGCTGGCCTCATTTTAAGTGGCCTGAGAAATCTCCAGATCACTCTCTAGAGCTGAATGCAAAGAGTAATTTCAGAGATTAAATATCAGGGACAGACTTAGTACATGTCTGTGAATACTGTGTGCCTTTAAATAGGCCAAAGCCCCTTCTCAAAAGGCCCATTGGTAGAATAATCTTGCAGGAGAAAGGAATAAAATATAAGAAGCCCTTTCCATTTCTTGTGTTCCCTAAGTAATGACTGACACCAGGAAATTCAAACAGATGAGATTGTGTACGGAGAGTTTAGTAATGAGAGACTAAGTCACATGGGCCGAGGGATTAATTTATAAGACAGACTCAACAAAGATGGGGTGAAAAATGGGAACAAAGAAAAGTTAGAAAATCTAACCCAATGAAAAGGATGCCTCCAGTCAGGGGAAAGGAGCACTGCCTCCAGAATTTTATTTTTGTTTTCAGCAAGTAGAATGGAAACAAGGAATCACTTGACCAAAGATGGTCATGAAATGGTAATGGCAGAGAAGAAAATTATGACAAGGACTATGAAATGACCTGCCAGGGACTTAGAGACCCATCCGGAGCTGTAAAGGAGAGGCTGGTGCAAGGCATACTCTCTGGCTGTGTCCTTAGCAAGGCTGGCGCAGCACCTCAGCATACGGAGGAGGTTTCCAGCACCCACAGGTGGTTTCAATACATTGGGTACTAACCATCTTGAGTCCAATGCATTGGTTGCTAACAATCTGCAGCTGACGCACGGAAAGTTCCCTGCCCAAGGCTCTCTCCTCCCCTTTCCTGCCCCCACATAAGCAAGGCTATATAAATAAACCACGGCTGCTAGATTGGGTCACTGTTCTCCCATCAGGAGACAGCTGTCCACCTAGCCCCTGCTTTACAGCATTTCTTTGTCTGTCTTTCTTAATCCTCTGTCGCTCCCACTCTGGCCCAGTTCTACTAGCCGTGCTGGATGCGGCAATGACCCAGATAAATAAATGCCTCCATTAGCATCTGTTTCTCAAGACATTTTTAAGACAAGAATCACAGACCCACTTATTGTCCATTTAACAGGTTCTATTAGGCTTTACAACACAGCAATCCCAGGCCCTACACAAAACAATGTTTCCTGAGTCTCCCCCACCCCAACCTACATTTGCTGTGAATGTGGGGCTGGGTGTAATGGCTGCCTGCCAGTTCTCTGCTAGGAAATAATGGTGCAAATAAGCACTCCTTTAAAACGTTACCATGCTCAAGCAATTGGTTTGGGGCTCTCTTCCTTTGAAAGCTTGTCACAATTCAAGGACTATAGAAATTAGGAGCCCATTTAAGGAGACAGCCTTAAAAGTTGAAAATCATGCACTTTTAAGGATGTCACAGTACCTGTTGATGAATGCACAAAATGGTTGTGTGTTGGTCTTGGGGCAGAATCTCTCAAGTTTGGGAGAGCAGGGCTGGAGTAAGATATGTAGGTCAGTCTCCCAACCTGGGTTCCCTGTGGGAGTGGGCCAAGTGCTGGGAGTATTAGTAGTTTTCTATGGAAATTATGAAAATCTCAGAAGTCCTGTCTGCTAATATGTACATGATTAATTACACAGGATCACAAACCCTTGATAAGGTGCAGGATGGGTTCCCTGTAAAAACATCCCAGTCAAATCAGTGCCTGGATGTCCTGATCCTTCTCCAAGTCATCTTCTATGCTCACCTTTTCCCAATGTATCTCCTGGGGTGCTGGATTATAGAGAAGGAGCTTTTACTGCTTTGTCATCAGAAGAGCAGCCTCACACAGAGCGGAGGAAACTCAGACAGCAGTTAGCATTTCCCTATAAGTTCTATAACCTAAACAATTTCATATAAACTATGTATCTTGTAACTGTCTGGCAAAACTATAACAATGACATATATACATGTGTATCTACAGACACGTGTGGCATAAATCCATCAATTGGATCGCTGTAATCTCAACACTGCAAAATACTATAATATGGGCCTTCTCATCATGGATGGGGTAGAGGCTTGATCACTGCACTGTACACCTGAAGCTGATGTTGTATAATATTGTATGTCAACTATAAGTGAATATATATATATATATATATATATATATATATATATATATATATATATATATATATATATATATATATATATATATATATATAGTCATGGGACGTGGAGTATAGTGCAGGAGTGGAGTCAAGGGGATTGTAATAGATATGTATGATATTGGGGGGAAGTGTGGTGGTGGATTGGGGGAGGGCGGTTGTCACCTCGACGGGTAAAAAGTATAACTATTGCACTGTGTTGTACAGCTGAAACTAATTCTAAAAACTGTGTATTTCACAATAAAAAATAATTTAAAAAAGACTTAATTAAACACTTTAAAAGAAAAAAAATATGGGGCTTCTCGCAAAATTCACCTCTCTTGGATAGACATCCTCTTTAAACAAAATTAAAAGCAATAAACACACAACCTAGAAGTCATGCCTCATCCTTCCCTATCATTGTGGCCTTAATTTAAGACATTATCTCATCTGGCCCTCTGTCCACCCACTGTAGGGGTTGCATCGCTCTAGGAATGTTCTTTTTGCATGCTTTTGGAATTCACTGGAAGTCCCATCTCAAGGCTGCTGGCTTCTCATCTGTCTCTCCAAAGCCTTCCCCAATAGTATGAATATTAAGGTTAGATAGACAAGTGAAAGAGAACTGAAGATAAGAGCCTGCTATAGAGATATTTAATTGACGAGGCCCCTATCAATGTGGCCAAATGGAGCAAGATACCAGAATTCTATTTGTAGACATCTACATAACTGGGCTACCTGGCAGGGATCTGAAATAACAGTTCTGTCGTTTATATGTCAGTAAGACTGCTCTGGGGAAACTGGACCACTAGATACTTATAATCCTGTGTTAAATTTTTTCCAGTTCCAAAGATATAATACATACTGTTCAAGACACTAAACATGAGTGCTTTACTTTCCTCCTCCTTATCATTTAGCATAAATAAGTCACATAAAAGCCCCTCTTTACACTGACTCACCCAGAGAAGTACCCATGTGTGCCTTTCTTTCTAGCCCAGTTCCCTCTTCATCATCAGACATTCTTTTTTTTTTTTTAATTTTTTTATTGTTAGTTTCAGGTGTACAGAACAATGCAATAGTTACCCTTTTCACCCTCACAAAGTAACAACCCCCC